GGCGCGGGCGCGGGGCCCCCCCGCCGGCCCCGGCCCCACCCCGCCGGCAGCCCTAGGAGGCCGGTGGGAAGCCGGGGAGAAACTCCTGCTGCTGGCGAGGAGGTCCTGGCTGCCCGAGCGGCGACCGATGCTGTTGCGCTGCGTGTGCCGGAGGGCGGGGGGCTTCCCAGGCCCGCTCCCCGAAGCGCAAGGAGAAATTTTAAGGGAGCCGCTGCGGTCGGGGTGCTGGGGAGAGAGCTGCACTGACACAGAAGTTTCCTCGGTGCTGTTCTGATTCTTAAACTTCTGCGTCACCCACATGAATATGGACCTAACGGAAGCATCTTTAAAGTTACATCTTCCAGCAAACTAGGATAGTCTGAAGGCAGTGTGTGACTTGTGCTTTTTCTTTCTTTAAAGGGTGTTATTCTGCATTCTCCTTTTTCTTTTCGTGCTGAGTAAAGATTATCTTGCCAGCACGCTGCCTGAGTAGAGGAGGTTTTGTTAAGTAGTTTCCAGAAAATAATGAAAAATGAGGCAGAATTCCCCCCCTTCCCCCTGAAAGAACCTGAAATGGGGAGCGTATTGTAGAAGGAAATTTCAGCCCTTCGGCCGAGGTGTGGATGTAGCGCAGTGCCAAGGGTCGTGCTAAGCGTGGTGCAGGGGTCTGCGTGCAGGGGCTGGGGGGCAGGCTTGTCCAGACTTCTCCAGTTTGGGATGTGCAGCCTCACATCTCCGCAGTCATAGTTACACCGGTGTGGCTCCGTTCCTTGGAAGGTGGATTCGGTTGCAAGCTCAGGGTTTGGGGGTTGGTTTTTTTTCCCCTTGGCAGCTTGCGGGCTCAGAAGGGTGGTCAGGGCAAAAATCAGCGAAGCGAGAAGCAGGACAGTAAGTCTGACAGGATTTGGATTAAAATGAAGCTGCAGTGCTAGATGATGCCTGATAGCAAAGCAGATGAAATGTCCGTCAGTGAGGGAGCTTTGCAAACTTCACCTTTCCCTGGGGATGCTGGTTTCAGGCTCCCCGCGGAGGGGGACGTAGTTATGGAGACATGCACCATGAGCGCCCCAGCTATCCGAGCACCAGCCCTAAACTTCTGTCTTCAGGCAGGCAGGGTGTAGTTGGTGAAATGCAAGAGAAAAGCCACCCTTTTGACATGGGGCGAAGATGTTGTCTTGCTGCAGAGGGTGCAGCGTGGCTGTCCCTGGGCACAGCCCGACGGCCCCGTTGTGGCCACCTCCAGCAAGGGTGGGAGGAGGGAGGTGGGAGGTGTGCGGTGAGCCGTGCCACCAGCGCGCCTGGGCTCAGCAACTCTTGCAGCATCCTCAGTTTCAGCAGAAGCTTTCAACCGCAACGTCTCTCTCAGTAGCCTGAGTGTTTTGTTTTGTTTTTACTTCTTGATCTGGTCTTCTCCTGCCTTTCTGGAAGTCCGGTGGGAAGAGGATTGCCCTGCCTGGGGGCTGGATTGCAATTTCTTCAGGGAGGCACCTAAAGCTTCAGAAGCGGTGCCTGTAAACGTCACTCAGAAGCCTATTTTTATTTAACCATTACTAAGGAAACACAGGGCTGTGTGTTGGCAGCGCGTTGTACTTGCATGCTCTTACAAATATAATCTGTTTTCTCTAGCTTGCGCCTTGCATCTCTGTGCGTGGGCTGTTGGCCCTGTGTGGCGGTGAGCTCCCCTCACCCCGCATGAGCGATAGCCACCAGCGGGGGTCGTGATGGCTGCGCCCAGCTGATGCTGGACTTTGGGGATGGATGGCAACGCAACAGCCAAGGGCTGCCGGGAGCAGTCACCCAAATGTCTTGCCAGTATGCAAATACGGCGATAAGTCAATCATCTCACTCCATAAATAGTGGGCAGCTCAGGGCCCGTTGAGCGCTCCTGCACGGCAGCGGGCTGTACGCCAGGCTCTCCCCTTGAGCAGGGACGCCTCTCAAGGTTACTCCTCCGGGTTGAGAGATTCCTTGCCACAACAGATCCTCGACAAGTGACTACTAGCATGCTAGACTCTGAAATCTTAGCTAAATGATATAAAGGATTGATTGCGCATATAGGATCCTTTAGATATAAACCATTGACCAAGCCTGGGACTAGGATTGGATCCAACCGCACCTCGACATCCCCCTGAGAAGGAGTTCAGAAAGCAAGGGGGTCCTTTCTGAACCTCAGCGCTCAACGGGAGGGTCTCCCTGACAGTTCTGGCTGACCCTGTCCCCTATGCAGTAAATAATCAAGCGTACCTTGCCATCAAATCTCGTTAAACCACTGCCGCATTTACCACTGAACTTTGTTAACTCACTGTTTTATATCAATAAAGTGTATTTTTGCTTCCTTCTTGTGAGTGAAGTGCACTCTCCCTCCACCTGCGACACCCTGGGATGTTGATTGCTGAGGATTAAATCTGATCTACCAGATGAGACCAAGCAGAAAGGATGTATTTTTTGATGTAACCGCATTCTCTGGTAGTAATTGATTTTAACTAAGTGGAAAAAACATAGAAAATGCGCTCCAATTATTTTCCTTACCTTAAGAAGCTTATGTAAAACCAATACAAAATAAGAAGAAAAGTTGTTTAAGTCTCATTAGGAAAACGTACCCTTTTAAGGGAATGAAGTATGTATAGCTGTCGCTTTGGTTTTCCCTTTTTTCCCCTCATTTAATGTCTGTGAAGCTGAGCAGTTATACTTTCCTTTTAATTTTTGTCATAACGTCTCACCATCTTTAAAAGCTTTCAGGATTTTATGCTGAAATAGGTTAGTCATAGCAACAGAGTAGGAATCTGCTGGATTTAATGCTCGGGATCCAGTATGTATTTATTAGGGAGCCATTTAACCCTTTAACCCTTAAGGGAACACTTAGAGAGCCATTTAACCCTTCCTGTTTCCAGCTCCTCCTTGTAGCACGCTTGCTCGTGTTCATGCAATTAGACATACAACACGCTAATCAGTGCCAACTAACTGGAAGGAAAAAAAAATGAACAATTTTGTTTTGAATGGTCTTAAAATTTTACTTTCTGTCTAGCTGTTTCTCTGTGTGGGGTAGCAATTCTTCCTGGTAAATCAATAGCATAGAAAAGGCATAGTTCAGGCTCCTTACAACATGCAACAATACTGAATCAGTTGGCAGCTTCACTCCAGCTCCAAAATCCCCAGTGTATTGAACTAAAAATATTCTGCTTTCTGTAGTTGAGTGGGCTGGCGTATAAACATATCAGCAGCTACGAATCTGTCTGTTCTAGCGAGGTCTAGCTGCAGGAAAAAGAAATTTTTTTTTTTCTCTCTTGTTTCCTAAGATAATCACATCATTGTACAGCCCAGCATTCATTTTAGCTCTTAAAAGATTATATAGCTGGGTCAGACTTAATCCAGAAATGTATACATAAAGCACTGGGCATGATGACCTTTGTGGTCAGTCTGAGTGATTTGTGGATTTCTTTTTTTTTTTTTTTCTTTTTTTTTATTTAATTGTTGTCTCAGAGAAAGAAATTTCAGTGGAGGGATGGTAGCCTTTCTTCAGCTGCCTTGATAGCAATAATAATCTCTGAGATGAGGCTTAAGGGGCATTAATTCCAAAGTCAATTTGTCGCTATCGTTCTGGCCATCGCGTGCGTCAGCGGTGCATACAGGCAGCGCGGTGGCCAGGCTGTAGGTTTGGTTCGGTGAAATGACAGTGCGATATGTCAGCTGCTAAAAAGGTCTGCTTTTTGGCTTTTTAGACTTTTCCCTTTCTATGCTTAAAGTTAAGCATAGCGCTGGAAGAACTTGCCAACTCTTTTGCTGAAGAAACTTTTAGGGGGGTGAATGGTGAGCCTGATGGGGGCAGCTGTGCAGCAGGACCTGCTTCTCTCCGTCCCTTTCGGTGAAATGACAGTGCGATATGTCAGCTGCTAAAAAGGTCTGCTTTTTGGCTTTTTAGACTTTTCCCTTTCTATGCTTAAAGTTAAGCATAGCGCTGGAAGAACTTGCCAACTCTTTTGCTGAAGAAACTTTTAGGGGGGTGAATGGTGAGCCTGATGGGGGCAGCTGTGCAGCAGGACCTGCTTCTCTCCGTCCCTGTCCCCGTCCCGCTTGTAAATAGAGTTGGTTTTAGTTTTTGGACTCTCTTAAATATGACCCATGACAGTGGAGGTTTAGTACCAAAATATGCCCAACCCTACAATAATTTTGGGAGGGTCTGGTGCATCTGGTGAAGCATCAGATCTGTGTTCAGGCTGGTGCCTGTGACAGGCAAAGTCTGCAGATGCTGTCTAGCTATTCCTCTGGAAGCAGCCCCA